TGCGAGGGAGTTTAGTTGTAAAATTCTTTTCTCAGTTCGCACCTGTGTCGAGCCTGTCTGCTGTGAGAGAGAATCTTTAAATTCTTTTCTTCGCGATGTCCAAACCGCCGCGCCGCCGCTCGCGCCGCCTCGCCGCCGCCTCCGCCGCCGCCGCGTCCTCGCCGAACACGCCGCCGCCCGCCCGCCTCCTCGACCTCCCCACGGAGCTCCTCGTGCGCGCCCTCTCTCGCTGCGACCCCGCCGACATCGCTTGCGTCGCGGCCGTCTCGCTCCTCTTCCACGCCTCGCTTGCGGTGGAGGGCATCCGCTTGTGGGCGCAAGAGCGCGGCATCGAGCTGCCGGCGCAGCCGGAGGGCGAGGGCTGCGCCGTGCGGTGGCTGTGCTTCGCCGCATTGCTGTGCGAGTCCAACCCGCCGGCGAGGGCGGCGGCAGGCATGTGGCACAGCGTCTTCATCGACGGCGAGGGGCGGCTCTCGTCGTGCGGCTCCGCGCAGTCCTCTCTTCCAGGGCTCCTCGGTCACGGCGAGGGTGTGACGCGGCTCAACACGCCGACCCGCCTCCCTTCTTCCCCGCTGGGCGAGGAGCGCGTCGTGAGCGTGTCGGCTGGAGAGAGGCACAGCCTCGCCCTCACCCCTGACAGTGCCGTCTGGAGCTGGGGCTATGGAGCCTGGTGCGTGCTGGGTCACGGCGGCGAGCAGAACCAGCTGCTGCCCAAGAAGATCGAGGCCTTTGCGGGCCAGAGCATCGTCGCTGTGTCGGCTGGAAGCAGCCACAGCCTCGCCCTCGCCGCCGACGGCGCCGTCTGGAGCTGGGGCCGTGGACACCCTGGCGTCTTGGGCCACGGCGACGAGCAGAACCAGCCGCTGCCCAAGAAGGTCGAGTTGTTGGCTGACCAGCGTGTCATCGCTGTGTCGGCTGGAGCCGAACACAGCCTCGCCATCACCGCCGACGGAGCCGTCTGGAGCTGGGGCTTTGGAGGCTCTGGCCAGCTGGGCCACGGCAACCAGCAGCACCAGCTGCTGCCAAAGCAGGTCGAGGCCTTTGCTGGCCAGCGTGTCGTCGCTGTGTCGGCTGGAGGCGAACATAGCCTCGCCATCTCCGCCGACGGCGCCCTCTGGAGCTGGGGCTTTGGAGGCGACGGCCAGCTGGGCCACGGCGACGGGCAGGAGCAGCGGCAGCCGAAGAAGGTCGAGGCCTTGGCGGGGCAGCGCGTCGTCGCGGTGTCGGCTGGATTGGCTCACAGCCTCGCCCTCACCGCCAACGGCGCTGTCTGGAGCTGGGGCTGGGGAGGCTTTGGCAAGTTGGGCCACGGCGACCTGCAGGACCAGCTGCTGCCCAAGAAGGTCGAGGCCTTCGCTGGCCAGCGCGTCATCGCTGTGTCGGCGGGATGCGATCACAGCCTCGCCCGCACCGCCGACGGCGCTGTGTTTACCTGGGGCAAGGGCGGCGACGGCTGCCTAGGCCACGGAGAGGACCTGTCGAACCAGCTGCTGCCCAAGAAGATCGAGGCGTGGGCGCCAGGGCAGGGATGGAGTGCGGGTGGGGAGGCCCTAAAACGGTGGGAGGGGTAGGGGTGCCGCTGTAGGGGTGTGGAGGGGTCGGGAGGGCGGGAGTGTGGACCGTGACCTAAAGCCCTCCACCGATAGAGGTGTCAGGCGGCAGGGCCCAGGAGGGGTGGGGGCTTGGAGGGCTGGCCAAAAGCGAGGCGTGGGAGGGGTCCAGTGGGCTAGAGAGGGCTGGAGGGGTCGGAGGGGGCTAGAGGGGCCGGAGGGGCTGTGCGGATGGAGGGGTCTGGAGGGCTCGGGGGGCTTGGAGGGCTCGGAGGGTGTCGTCCGGCAAGAGGGTCCCTAGCGCGAGGGGTGGGGCTCGGGAGGGGTGGAGAGCTCGGAGGGCTCGGAGGGCTCGGAGGGCAGAGAGGCACGAGGGTGGCGCTGGAGGGCTCGGGAGGGCTCGGGAGGGCTCATGAGGGATGGAGTGCCCGGAGGGCTCGGAGGGGCGAGCCACCGAGCCGGGCTCGGGGGGCTCGGAGGGCTCGGAGGGGTCGGAGGGGTCGGAGGGGTCGGAGGGCTCGGGGGGCTCGGAGGGCTCGCGGAGGGGTGTGGAGGGGTCGGAGGGGTCGGAGGGGTCGGAGGGGTCGGAGGGGTCGGAGGGGTCGGAGGGGTCGGAGGGGTGTGGAGGGGTGTGGAGGGCTCGGAGGGCTCGGTTAAAGATACCCTGCAGGCATACGGAAGTGGTGCAATACACATCATGAGGCGTTTCCGTGGTGTCTGTGCGCGGACGGCCCGGGGAGCCTGCGGCGCTATTTTTAACCTGCCCCGACAGAGTCTCTCGATACGGCGCGCGGCGGCGCCGCACCCAGCAAGCTGGGGCCGCTCCTTACGGACTCGTCGCTGCGCTCCTCAAGGCAAACACGAAGCGCGTTTGGTATTCGAAATACCTGGGGTTTCTCCGCTAAAACGGAAGCGCCACAGGCTGGAGCCTCCAGACACACACACTCATATGGAGCTCCTCGCTCGCCCGCCTGGCGGCGGCAGCGGCCATGGCGACGCTGATGGCGGCGGCACTCGTGGCGGTGGCACTCGTGGCCGCGGCGGCGCCTGGGCAGCAGAGAGAGCTGTCGCTGCAGTGCTGGCGGCAGCTGGCGGCGGCGGCTGGGGGCGGCGGCTGGCGGCGACATTGCTGGCGGCAGCCATGCGGGGGCGGCGCTGCTGTGGCGGCGAGGGGGCGGCGTTGCAGCGCCCTGCCGCAGCAGGCCCGCCCGGATAGCACTGGCAGTCTGCCGGCGCGGCCGGCGCATTCGAATGCGCCCGCCGCGCCGGCAGACTGTTGGATGGCCACAGTCGCGAACGTGGGTGAAGTCGTGCGGCGCAGAGACCAGCTCATTCGCCGTCGCCGGTCCCTCGATCACGGGCGCCGTCGCCGGTTGACCCGCGTCCATGGGCGGATTCAGCAGGCCTGCAGCCCTCCAGCCCTCTAAACCCCTCCGACCCCTCTAACCCTCTCGTGGCGGGCACTCTCGGAAGCTCCGCGCCATTCTTTTTTTGCGACCCCTCCCGGAGGCCCTTCCGACCCCTCTCGAGCCCTCCCGCCACGAAGATCCTCTCTTTGTCCGACCGTCCCTCCGAGCCCACCCGGCGTTCCGAGCCCTCTTGCCTACCACCCGAGCTCGGGGGGGGATGAGCCCTCCTGGACCCCACCACCCCTCCCGCCTCGCCCAGCCCTCCTGACCCCTCTCCCCGGTGGACCGCTCCACCCTCCCAGCGCGCTAGCCCTATGGGACCCTGTGGAGCCCTCCCGACGCCGATCCGACGGGGACCCCTCCAGCCCTGTGGGCTGGCGAGCCCTCCGGTCGGAGGGGTGGAAGTGGGAGGGCTCGAGGACGGACCCCTCTCGCTCCAGGAGGGTGGAGGGGTGGAGGGTGGAGGGGTGGAGGGGTGATTGAGCCCTCTAGCTCTATCGATATAGCCCTACCCCTCCCGCCGTTTTAGGGCCTCCCCACCCGCTATGCAGGGATGAGAAGGGCGAAAGGGTGCCAGCAGGCTCTGTGTTGGTGACTCTGGGTTTTTCTTCTTTATAACGAGAGGCGACGAGTGAACTGCAGGTAGTTGGGAAGGCAGCCTCGATTGCCGTACAGACATGGGTGCGGAACCGAACGACCAAGACCACGTAGTGTCAAACCGACTCGCGTCTCGCGAGTACCATGCAACTCCAGACACAGAAACGCACACACTGTCGCTCGAGCTGCTGCGCTCGCACACTCAGGCATGCCGTACCGTACGAGCCACCTCACGACTCTGCATGGTCGAGCACATCACCCTACCCTAACTCTAGCCGCCTCCGGAGACCGCGAGCGGCCTCCTACCTCACAAGCGGAAGTTGCCACACCGCACCGGCGCTGCTATCAGACTCGGAGAGGAAGGAGAGAGAGGAAGTGTACAGGAAGTCTCCGGACGGACGAGCTCTCCTTTGGCCGAGCGGCGACGGTCACCTCCCTCCCGAGATCCACCCGAGATCCACCCGAGATCTACCGGAGATCCACCCGAGATCTACCCGAGATCCACCCGGGGCCAGCACCGACGGATGGCGGCGACGGGCCGGATGGCGGCGATGGGCCGCCACCGTCGCTGCGTCCCTCGACACCGATATGTGCGGCGGGGAGCCGCCGTCGCTGCCTCCCTCGCCGCCGGACTACAGCGGCGGGCCGCCGCCCCCCTCGCCGCAGAGCGGCGATGGCACGCGCAGCTCGTCGGCCCACAAGGCGCGCCTGGACAGTTCCGAGAAGGTTCGTCTCCGTGTGGGGAATACCTCGGCTACATCTCGCTATACCTCGGCTGCATCTCGGCTGCATCTCGGCTGCAACTCGCATCAGCTCGAGGATGCACGTCCGCGACTGTATCTCGGCAGTATCTCGGCTATATCTCGGCTATATCTCGCATCAGCTCGGGGATGCACGTCCGCGACTGTATCTCGGCAGTATCTCGGCTATATCTCGGCTATATCTCGCATCAGCTCGGGGATACACGTCCGCGAAGCCGCGATGAAGTTCTGGAGGCTGGAGTAGAAGGGCTCGCTGTTGTGCAGGTCCTTGCACGCAACCTCAAAGTCCGCGTAGCTGGAGGCGTTGCCGCGCGGGTACAGCTCCGCGCCGCACGACGGCGAGAGGGCGCCGCAGAGCGGCGCGTTCGGGTCCGCACTGGACGGGTCAAAGGCCTGGTCGACGCACTGTCCGATGGCAGGCACGAACTCGAGCAGACCCCCCCCGAGGGACTGCTCCCCCCACGACTGCAGCAGCGCGGCCTAGAAGGTTCCGAGACGGTTCCGAGAAGGCTCCGAGAAGGCTCCCCCCACGACTGCAGCAGCGCGGCCTAGAAAGTTCCGAGACGGTTCCGAGAAGGCTCCGAGAAGGCTCCCCCCACGACTGCAGCAGCGCGGCCTAGAAGGTTCCGAGACGGTTCCGAGAAGGCTCCGAGAAGGCTCCCCCACGACTGCAGCAGCGCGGCCTAGAAGGTTCCGAGACGGTTCCGAGAAGGGTCCGAGAAGGCTCCCCCCAACGGCTGCAGCAGCGCGGCCTGGCCGATCGTGTAGACGGCGCACGCAAAGCCGAGCACGGCGACGCCGTACAGGAGGACGCGCCTGTTCACAGCCGGAGGTGTGAAGAGACGCTCTTCACAGCCATGCCGTACAGGAGTCCGACGCGCCCTGCGAGCGCGGCGGAGCAGAGCGAGAGCGACGCCCTGAACTCGTCGGCCCACAGCGCCCGCACCTCGCGGCGGGGTCGGTAGTTGACGTGCATCTCGCAGGCCGCGAGGAGGAGGGCGCCTAGAAGGGTCCAGGAAGGGTCGCGGAAGGGTCCCGGAAGGGTCCCCTCCAGGCCGCGAGGAGGAGGGCGCGGAGGAGGACGTGGTACTTGAGGTAGGTGTACTCCAGCGGGTAGTCGGGCTCGCTGCTTGGGTAGAGCCCCGGCACGAGCCGGCTCTCCTTGCCGCCGTCCCCGGCAGACGCGAGGTAGCAGCAGAGGCCGATCGCAAAATCGAGGGCGAGGACCGCGTTCGAGTAGAAGCCAACCAGCGTGCGGCCGCGCCTAGAAGGCTCCTAGAAGGCTCCTAGAAAGCTCCTGGAAGGTTCCTGGAGGCGAACCAGCGTGCGGCCGCGCCTAGAAGGCTCCTAGAAGGCTCCTAGAAGGCTCCTAGAAGGTTCCTGGAGGCCAACCAGCGTGCGGCCGCGCCGCGACGCGATGGGGGACGAGGCGCGGGGCGAGTTGCTCTGCCGCTCCTCGTAGGCAGCGCGCGACTGGAGCGGCACGATCTGCTCGTACAGCAAATCGTCCAGCTCGAGGATAAACGCGACGGCGGCCTGTTCACAGCTCTCAGCTGTACTCCCTCACAGCTCGAGCTGTGAACAGGCGGCCGAGTTGAGGACGGTGTCTCGCAGGTGTCTCGGAGGTGTCTCGGAGGTGTCTCGGAGGCGTCTCGGAGGTGTCTCGGAGGTGTCTCGGAGGTGTCTAGACGGCCGCCGAGTTGAGGACGATGTCGAGGGCGTTGTCCGCTTGCGCGTTGATGAGCGAAGTTGCAATAAGGCACATCCCAGGGAGCATGCACATCCGGATGCTCCAAAAGACCTGCAGCACGATCGCGAACACCGCGCGCTCCGCCATGCCGGCGGCGGTCAGCGGGGCGGTCGGCTTGTTCCGCTGCGCGGGCGGCGGGGGAAGCAGGATGGGCTCGAGGGGGCACATCGAGAGGATGGTGCCTTGCGTCTCTTGCCGTACGAGCATGGAGAGGAGGAGGAGCGAGAAGGCGGAGCAGTAGATGTTGATGATCGGCACGCGCCCGTCCGTGGCCGCGTCGGCGTAGAAGAGCGAGTTGTCGACGAAGGGCTTGAAGGCGTTCGTGTCGTCGCGCAGCTTGAACAGCATCGAGACGTCGTACACGCCAAAGGCAAAGGTAAGCTGGATGAAGGCGAGCGCCGCAAGCAGCAGGATCTTGCCGCTCGCCGAGAGAAGGTTGACGCCACCCCCCTCCTGCACGTCTCCGAAGGCGGTATCGAGACACCAGCCGTACATGTTGAAGACGCTGGAGACGTCCGCCTCCTCGAGCAGCGAGCCGAGCACCTCGAGCAGGTCGCCCGTGTTTGCGGTCGCCGTGCTGAGAACCGAGTTCTCCTTGAGGCTGAATATGCCACTTGCCGACGGCGCCGCCGCCTCCTCCTCCATTTTGCGAACACGGGCCTGAAGCGAGGCCATCTGCGCATGAAGCAGCTCCAGCTGTGTAGCTTCGGCAGGCAGAGGAGGCCGCGGCTCGAGCTGCATCGCACCGGGCGTCAAAGCCGGCGGACTCGGCGTCGGTCGGTAGGGTCGGTACCTGCGGATAACCGAGCGTCCTCCGACGCCGCGGCGAGCCTGAGATCGGTCGCAATCTCTTCCGCCGCCGCGAGCTGCAGCACGACTGACATGCGCTGGGCCTGCAGCGAAAGCCACGACCGAGTCGACCAGCTCGCCTCGTCCTCGTGCTGCCGCTTCGAACACGGGTCTCCGAGGGTTAGCTCTGCGCTCCGGGGTTCCCCCAGCGGCGGAATTTTTCCCTCGCGCTGTGGGTCCCCCTAGCTGCGGAACGCCCCCTCTACTCGGAGCTAAAAAGAATACTCTCCGAGAGTTCGTCCGCGCTCCAGGTTTCCCCTAGCAGCGGAGCGCCCCCTCTACTCGGAGCTAGTGGACACGACACTAGCTAGTGATACGAGAATACGCACCGTCCCCACGTAATACCTTACTCGAAGATAATACGAGAATACGCAGCTGCGAGGCACCTGTCGAGTAGCTTCCGCGGCGAGCAGCTTCCGCGGCCGTGGGGCGTGGGGGGGGGGGGGGGGGGCGGGGGGGGGGGGGTCTGGGGGGGGGGAGGTCGTCCAGGGGTGGGGGAAGTTCGGGGTATGATGGGGGTGGAGGGGGCGGCTTCGGGGCAGTACCATGGGAATGGGTGGTTGTTGGGGGGGGGGTTGGACGGGGGGCTCGGGGGGGGGGGGAGGGGGGGGCCGCTGCGGGGGGGGGGGTGGGGGGGGGAGGGGCGGGGGGGGATAGGGGCTGGAGGGGGAAGGGGGGGGGCGGCGGTGGGGGGGGGGGGGGACGTCCCCAGCGGGGGCGAGTCAGTCCGAGCTGCAGAGGTGGGCGACGCCATTGTGAGCGCGGCACGGGGGCAGAGCGACCATGCATTGCTCATCCAGGGCTGTCACCTGGACCCATCAACAGGCGCCTGCGGCGCCGTGGCACGAGGTGTTGTTCACACCTGCCCAAGCATTCATGCAGCACAGTAAACTTGTGGCGCGCTTTGGCCGCCTCAGCCTGCCGATGAGCACGCGAAGTCGGCTCGCGCCCCCCCCATGCGCGCCTTCGCGCAGTGGTTCGGCGGCTCGCCAAGCGCCGAGCGCAGCAGCCGCGCTTCGCCGTCGCCTCGCCCGAGCGACGCCGATAGCCTCCTGTCTCCGCTCTCCGCCTGCGCCATCGACCAACGTTTGGACACAGAGAACAGCTGGAGGAAGGGCGAGCTCGTCTACCACGTCGCGGCCACCCTGACGCTGCCGAGTGGAGAGCGCATCGTGCACGGCGAGCAGGGCAGGGTGGAAGGAATCACTCCCGTGCTCGGCGAGAACTCCGTCCAGGTCCGCTTCTCGCGCGATGCCATCTCGCTCCCTCCAGCGAGGGCCGCGGTGGAGCTGTCGCGCGAGCCGCCGCCGCCCCTAGCGGGCGGCTATCGGCCCGGCGACGAGCTGTACTACACCCACGTCGGCCTCGTCACCACCGAGGGCGGCCGGTTCCGGCTCGAGCACGCCTCGCGCGGAGAGGTGGTCGGACACCGGGACCGGGGTATATGCTCTGATGCGTCTATTGGACGAGTGGCGCACTACTGCTACTAGGTGATCGGGCCGGCAACGGCGCCGTCGCACGTTGGAAAGGGCGTCAAGATGCGCTTCCCCGCGGCGGCGTGGCGCGGGAGCGAGACGGAGCTCAGCCAGCGCCGGGACGTCCTCGATGGAAGCCACGTCCTCCCGGCGCTGGTCGACAAGTCGGGGGGAGGCGGAGCCGCAGGCCCGCCCGGGCTGGCCGACCTCTACTTGACGTCGGTGTCTCGAGAGCCGCCTCCGCCGCTGGTCGGGGGCTACGTCCTCGGCGAGCAGGTCTTCACACACCGCTCACCCACGCGCACTTAGAAGTTTACCTTACCTAACATTTCCCTAGCAGGTCTTTTTCGTCGGCGCGTCCGAGATGGCGGGCCATGGCTCGCTCACGGCGGACTGCAGCCTCTCGCACGGCCAGCTGGGGGAGGTCGTCGGACCCGCCTCCTCGCTCAAGCGTGCGACCGACAGCGTCGCGATGCTCTTCCCCGGCAACGCGCGCTTCGTCAACTGCCGCCTCTCCAGCCTGTCGCGGTCGGCGCCTCCTCCGCTGCCGGGAGGGCACACCGTCGGCGACTCGCTCTACTTTCTCGGCGCCGACAAGGCGTTTGACAGCGGCAACAAGCTGACGCACGGCGCGCTGGGCACGGTGATGGGGCCGGCCCCGGTAGGCAGGGCCGACTCTCTCTCCATGCTCTTCCCGGGCAACACGAAGAACGTGACCTGCACGATCGCCAACCTCTCGCACGCGCCTTGCCGGTCGATCGAGGGCACCTCCTCCGGCGATCTCTTGTCCATGGTGATACTGGCGATGGATTTGGGCGAGTACCGGCGCGCGCTCGACATGGTCGACGAGGTCGTGTCGCGGAGCGACGACCCCCCCGCGATGGTGCTCTTGCTCCGCACCCAGGCGTGCTCCCACCTGGACATGCCCGAGCGGACGGCGCGCGAGGCGACTGCGTGCCTCACGCACACCGACCTCGACGAGGAGGAGTTCAACAGCCCCTTTTCGGCGGCAGAGTTCAGGGTCCAGTGCCGCAGCCTTCGCGCCGGCGCGCTCGCGGAGCTCGGCCAGTGGCGGCGCGCGCTCGACGACCTCGCCCATATTCCCGCCGCTAGCCGCGACGCGAGCACGCTGCTGGTCGAGCCGCTCGCCTACCTCAAGAAGAGCCAAGAGGCATACCTGCTCCTGCTCAGCTGCTTTGTCAAGACGACCGAGACCCCGTCCGAAGACATCCAGGCGGTGCAAGCGTGCGCCGCAATGCTCGCCTCCGCGCTGGCCGACATCTCTGAGGCGATTGGCGACACGCTGCTCGAGCGGACCCCAAACGGCGGCACCGCTCCAATGCTCGACATCTGCGCCATCCAAGAGGTCGCCCTCGCTCAGGGAGTCGACACGCTGGACGCGGCGGTCGAAGGCTGCCCGGAGAGCCAGCCGATGGCGCGCGCGCACCTGCTGCACTGCCGCGGCCACGCACAGACGCTGCTCGGCGGCGTCTGGGCGGTGGAGGGCGACGACGACTACGCGGTCGAGTGGTTCGAGGCTGCGCTGGGAGACTTCTCCGCCGTGCTCGAGATGCCTCCGAGCGCCGTGTCGAAGCCGTGCCGCGCGTCTCCTCTCCTCGGTTCGATCGTGTGCCAGCTGGCGCTGCGAGACCGCGCTTCGGCACGCGAGGCGCTGCGGCAGCTGCGCGCCCTTGGACTGCTCGAGGCCTCCACCCGCGGCTCGGGATACGCCTACCTGACGGCCAACGTGAGGCAGTTCTTGGCGGAGGAGGAGCACGCGGCGGAGAAGAAGGCGGCGGCGAACGCGGCGCAGCTGATTCGGGAGGAGGAGCGGGCCAAGGGGGGGAGGAGGGCGGCAGCGGAAGGTCCAAAGTCAAAGAAGAAGGGCAAGGCGGGCAAGAAGGCGGCAAAGAAGGGCGGCGGCGCGGCGAGGGGAGCGCCATCCAGGCCCCCCGCGGGCGCTGGGGCGGGGCCGGCGCCGCCGCAGGGAGGGGGTGGGGGCGATGACTCGAGCGAGAGCGAGGACGACGAGGCGTGCGGGGCAGCGGAGGCGAGGAGGAGGAGCCTTCCCTGAACCGTCTCGGAACCTTCCTGCAGGCGTGCGAGCAGCGGCTCGCCGAGGCGAGGAGATGCCAGGCGGCCCAGGACGCCGCCAAGGCGGAGGCCGCGAAGGAGGCCGAGGAGAGGGAGGCGCGCGAGCGCGCGGCGGAGCAGGCGGCCCGCGCCCTGGCGGCGGCGGACGCCAAGGCGCTCGAGGAGGCGAAGAAGCGGTCGCAGCAGGCATATCTCGGCTATCTCTCGGCTGTCTCTCGGCTGTCTCTCGGCTGTCTCTCGGCTGTCTCTCGGCTGTATCTCGGCTGTATCTCGGCTGTATCTCGGCTGTATCTCCCCCAGGCCGCCCCGCGGGCCGAGTCCTCCGCGGCCAGCTCGAGGCGGCGGAGGGAGGCTGCGGTTGCCGAGGCCGAAGCGCAGGCGACAGCTGGGGAGGAGAGGCGGCGTCGATTCGAGGCGGAGCGGGCGCAGGCAAGCTCGAGCACACTCGCCGAGAGCGCGAGGACGGAGGCAGCGGAGGGGGGCGCGAGGGCCGCCGTTTCGACCCGCGCGAGGCGGGCTGCCTTCGACGCCGGCCTCTCGCCGGGCGCCGCCCGCTTAGCGGTGGACGCGGCGGCCAGGGCGATCGGTGCGGATGGTGAGGGCGACCCCCAGGCGGCGGCGAGAGCGGGCGCCGCTGCTGGCAAGGCGGCACAGGCGGCGCTTGACGCCGGTCTCTCGCCGGCAGCCGCAGCGCTGGCGGCGATGGCAGCGGCAAACGCCGCGGCAAGTGAGTCAGCCGCGACGCCGCCAACGCAACCGTCGCCACCACCGCAGCCGGCGCCACCGCCCAAGCCACCACCACCGCAGCCGCAGCCGCAGCCGCCGCCACCAAAGCCACCGCAGCCGCAGCCGCCGCCACCAAAGCCAACGCCGCCACAGCCGCAGCCACGGCAACCACCGCAGCCGCAGCCGCCGCCACCAAAGCCACCGCCGCCACAGCCGCAGCCACGGCAACCACCGCAGCCGCAGCCGACGCCGACGCCAGAGCCGGCGCTGCCGCCTGCGCCGCGAGTGCAGTCCGACTCATTGCGATCCGACTCATTGCAATCCGACTCTGTGCAGTCCAACTCAGTGCAGTCCGCCTCATTGCAATCCGACTCCCACTCGAGAGACGTGTCGCCCTCCTTTGGCCTCAAGGCCCTCCTCGGGGTTCCTACGGCCAGCCGCACTGCATTGCGACCTCAAGCCGCCGCCCCTCCTGCCACTCAACCACAGGCCGCTCCAAGCGCCGCTCGGCCGCGTGGGGGCGTGCTCGCCCAGCTAGCCGAGCTGGAGTCGTGTCTCGGCCTCGACGGCGAGGGCCGCCCCCCGCTGCAGCGCCTGGATGAGCTGGAGGCCGTCATTGGGATCACCCCCAGCGCTATTGGGATGGTGCCGCGCCTCCAGGCGCTCAGCGTTTGGGCAAAGTCAGCGGGAATCCTGACGTAAGTGCGCGTGGGACATAATGGTGTGTGTCACGCTGCACCGTCAGTGCGATGAGAGTCAGTAGTTCAGTAGTTTCCATGCACCGAAGCGGGCCACACATCTCCACACATGAGATTTGGCTGCACTGCCGATGGCGGTGAGATTACCCTGGGATCTCTCCCCCAGTGCGGGAAAAAGAGACGCCGTCGGTCAACCCGTCATGCGGCAGGTGGCTTGCTTTGGCTCGCTCGTGCCACCGCGGTGGGTCACCAAGAAGGCGGCACGGCGGCGGCGGCGCGGCCCCCCCCCATCCCCACGCCTCCGGGTCGTGCGTACCGCCTCCGGGCGCGAGTGTCCCCCCAGCGTCTGCTCCAGCAGTCGCTCGGGTAATCAGGCCGAGAGTACCAGGCAGGTGGGGAGAAGAGCCCAGGGAGGGGAGAGGAGAAGAGCCTAGGGAGGGGGGGGAGGAGAAGAGCCCAAGGCGGCCTCCCTCTCCCTCCCCTCCCACCGGGCCTCCCTCTCCCTCTCCTCCCACCGGGCCTCCCTCTCCCCCTCCTCCCGCCAAGCACCATCAGTCTCGAGGGGCCAGCCGCTGGAAGGGGCAAGCCAGCGGCACGAGGGCTTCAGCCACACAGCTACCAAGGGAACGCGACCCACCCAAAGCACCAAAGTTAGGCATACCCCCCGGCGCAGTGTCCCCCGCTATGTGTCGCCGTTTGTCGGGGCACGCTATCCTGTGCAGTCAGGGCAAGTGGGGGCGGGGCGGAGTCCCCAGGCCTTTGTTTCCTGGGATCTCTCCGCCCAGTCCGGCGGTGCGTCGAACCTTCCATCACCCTGGGAACGTCCGGGTGTTGGAAGTAAAGATATATTACTCTCCCCCAGTGCGGGGCTGCGTCGACCCTACCATCACCCTAGGTGCGTCCGGGTTTTGGTAGCAAGAATAATTGTTTTTATCAATCAGCGGGAGACACGGAACTCGGAAGATAAACAAATATGAGACCAGAACATATCATACAGTTTACTACGACAGTACGGTGCCCGCCGGATCCCGGCCCGGGGCGCCGGGGGGGAGGCCCCCTTCTGGTTGTGTTGTTGTTGTTTGTGCCCTTGGTGCCTTGGGCGCTGGGGGTGGGGGGCGACCAGGGCAGACCAGGGGAGGTAGCGCGCGCCGTACCCTCCCCAAACGCCGGCCCACAACATCGGGCTTCGCCGTGTCTGTGGTTAACAACTGCGGTCGCTGCTCCTCGTGCTCGCGGCTGCTGGGGCTCGAGCCTTCGCCTCGGCCGGGGAATGCTCGGACGCTCAGCGGGCGGTGTGGCATTCGAGCCGTAAATGGTCTCGTCCTGCCTCGAAAGAGTCACGTCCATCTCATCCGGACCGCCGATATATGTCGAAAGTGATCGAGACGGTCGAAAGTGACTACGATGGGCGCTGACCTACTCGGTCCTGCTCAACAGATCGAATACCGAGAGGCCATGACGCACCCCTTCCTCTCCACCCCGGGAAGAAGACGGCGCCGACGACATCATCAAGACCTTCTGGGTTATCGAGCCGCTCAAGCCGGGCGAAACCAGCATGGAGAAAGGGCCCAAACGTGCTGCAATAAGCGGCTGCAGCTGCCCCGCGCATGTACGACAGGGGGCGTTCTCGACGGAAGCCGGCTCGCTCGACTCCGGAACGCACAAGTCGTACATGTCGCTTCTGCGCTGCCGGTGCCGGTGCCGGGCTCCCAAGTCGTAGCTACGCAATGTGCTCATCGATGTGCTCTGCGGCTTCGACGAGCACGAGGGTGCCATGAGAGCAGACGGTGCTGCCGTGCGCTGTAGCGCATGAGTTGTGAGGCCCCGCCACTCGCGACCTCTCGAGTCTCTTTTCATAGAGACACAAGAACCACAAGACAACTTCGGTCGCCTAGCCCCGGCGGCCGGCGCCATCTGTCGGACGCCTGCGTGCCACGACCCACGAGTGCGAGCCGCTCGCGGTTCGTACGCCCACTTGCGGGTTCGAGTGGCGGGCCATCCCGCTTGCGGGTTGGCTTAGCGGGTTTCTTTGGAGCCGACACACACACACACACACACACGACAAGACACTCCTGCCTGAGACACTCACTCAGCCGCACCGGGGCTGCCAAAATCCTGTCGACACACATCTTGAGCGAACTAGTCACCCGCGGCCGGACTCCATCCGACACGCGTCGCTGGGCGCTCAGTGCCGCGTCCCCTGCTCGCCACCCCGACGCCCATCCATGGGCCATGGCGCCCGAGTCGAACGACAGGCTCGCTCGCTCGGGACAGACAGACAGGCAGGCGGCACGCGAAGACTGGTTGCCATCCCGCCGACCGCTAGGCCGCGAGATGATGTGTGCGTGGTCATGTGGTGGGTCTCGGAAGCTCCCCTCCGGCTAAGAGCCAACCTCTCACGCTTGGCCTCAACCTTACGTGTTCCTAGGACGCGCGAGAAATGCACAGTAAAAAACGCGCAATTCGCGGGCAGTGTTGCCGCCGTTGCGCGAGCCGCCCCGCACCGGCCCAAGTCTCTGTAGGCAGTGCAGCGTCGGGGTGCATGTACCCGACCCACGCCACGCCCTACTCGCTAGCTCCTACGCCAGCCTCCGGCGAGGTGACTCGCTTCCCGCTCAAGCGGTCGGAGAGGACGAATCAGGCCACGGGAGGGCGGAACGGGCGGGATCGCTGCATCCTGGCTCTCCGTCTCGTCCTCGCCGGCGCGCTCATCGTCGCGGCGGCGACGCTCAACCTGTTGCTTGCCGAGCCCGCGACCAACGCGACGGATTTCGCTGACGCCACGGTGCTCGTGACCGGCTATCAGCCATGGGGAAGCCTCACTCACAATCCCGCAGCCGGAGTGGCCACTCGCCTCAACGGGACCCGCGTTGGAAGCTGCGTCATTGAGTCGGTCTCGCTTCCGGTGAGCCGCGAGGGCGCTGAGTGGGCGGCGCGGCGGCTCGCCTCCTCCAACGGCCGTATCGCTGCGGTCATCCACTTGGGATTCGAATCTCGTGCAAAGGGCCTCAAGCTGGAGGTCGCGGCATCCAACGTCGCCGCGCTCAGCAACGCCACCGAGCCGAGTGCCGGCCCCGGAAGCGTCGGCGACGCCGAGGGCGATCGCCACGGGCGCTGCGACGCGAGTCCAGCCGACGAGATCGAGCCGAGCGCGCCCTGCCTGCTCGCCTCCACCGCACCCCTCGACCTGATATCCCTGCCGCCCGCTGTCGAGGCGTGGTCGCGGGACGGCACGGTCTACGAAGCCTGGTCGCGCGACGCCGGCACGTTTTTCTGCAACGAGCAGTACTTCCGCACGCTGCTCGCGATCCGCTCGCTGCGGCTCGCGCCGCCGCCTCCTCGCTCACGCCACAAGCTTCCGCCGCCAGAGGGGTCGCTGCTGCCCACGCTGTTTGTGCACCTGCCGCCCGAGGACCTCCACGAGGAGGCCGAGGTGGCCAAGGTGGTGCAGGCCATCGCAGAGCGGATGGTGTTGGGCCGGTGAGGCGGGGTCGCAATCTGAGCGTGAGAATGCATGCTTCATACACCCTATACGCGGGGGAGAAGCTTTGGATTCGCACCCCCCTGGGGGTGCTCATATACGTGTACCCGCATATACAGTAAAAATAAATAAATACAACGGACACCTGTACTGTGAGATGGGTAAAAAGGAATAGGTCCCCGCCCGTGCGATCTTCGACGTGCAGGGTTCTTTGAGAGGGTCCGTGGTGGTCGGCCGTCGGCGACTGCGCCGCCTGTGTCTCTGCACTTTAAATGCCGGGGGTGAAGCCTGTGACCGCGCGCCAGAGAGCTCTTCACGTAGAGGTGTCAAACGTTAACTTTGGGCCTAACAGTTGCACTATTGTTGGCTGAAATCCTCAACGTTGATCGTTGTTCAAGTGTTGGCTCCCCAGCTCCCTAGCTGTTACTGTTTTGTTACTGTTGTTACTGTTGTTCAGTGGTCAGCAAGCAGAAAATGCCAAAAACCCCGGGTAAACCCCGAAAATACCTGGGGGGTTCCGGGTATTTTCGGGTATCACCCGCACACTGGACGGTCGCTGCGAGATCGTCGTGGGTCACTGGTAGAGGCCTTCCATATTGTTGTTTTCAGTCGGCCTAACGTTAGCTACTGTTGTTGGGGAGCCCAACTGTTGTTCTGTTGTTACTGTTAACACTAGCAACACTGTTCAGCTCTTTAACGTTTGACACATGACAGCTCTCTACTCTTGAGGCCCCCCCGCGCCGGCGGGGCCGCCCCCTCCGCCTCGCTTTTTGTTTTAAAATCCTGCAACGGTGGGGACGTGTCTGTGTGTGTCCTCCCCCCAGCCCTAGGCGACGCGCACTGCACACGCACACACACACACACACACACTCACACACTCACACACACACACTCACACACACACACCTCGCGCATGCACGGTTCTGGTATGCCCCCCAACTCTCCCCCCCGCCCCCCCCACGATGCTGAGAGCGCGTGCGGCGTCCGCCCCGGTCCAGTCAGTCCACCGCCCACCCGGGTGGGCGCTCCTTCAGTGGTCGCTCCGGTACAGCTCCGGCGTCGTCTCGTCGAATGGCCTCACCTCCTCGCCCCGGCTCCTCTTCTCGCGCTCCCGCTGCCAGTTCTTGAACCACCACGACTCCTCATCGCACGCGACTTCCGGCAGCAGCGACGAGTTGTCGCCCGGGCTGCCGCAAACGGAGAGCTCGGAAGCGATGTCTTGCACGAGCTGGCCGGCCACCACGTCGCGCACGCCAAACTTGGCCGGGTAGCGGTCGACCTGCGGACGCCACGCCCGAGGGGGTGCGGGTGCGGGTGCGGGTCGGGGGCTAGGGTCGTCGTCGGGCTGAGACACGGGCGCGGGTGGTGGCAGGGGCTTTCCGCCCACCTTTGAGACGCGGTCGATGACTCCGCCCCAGTGCTTCTTGAGCAGCTTGGGCGTGAAGGGGTAGTCGCGGCAGCACTCGTCGCGCACCTCCTGCAGGCCGCGCTGTAGCACCCGGGCGAGGAGCACGCCCTTCCAGTCCTGCGTCTTGAACGCCTTGGTGGTGAGGTGCTTCTTGAGCGGCAGCGACTCCGCCGAGCACCGGCCGAGCGCCGTCACGCCACGCGTCACGTGCAGCACCGCCGGCTTGCCGGCGAGCGAGCGCGATGTCGGGCAGAGGAGGGTGTTGAAGCTCGGGTTGCCGAACGCAAGCACGGTGCCGTTGCGCAGCCAGGTGGGGGCGCGCGAGCGCCCCGGGATCTTCTCGTCCTTGAGCAGATCGAATAGGCCCTGCTGCTCCCAGAGAACGTGCTGGGTAAACTTCTCCGAGCGGAGCGCCCACTCGGTTAGCAGCCGGTCCGTCTCGCCGCCGCTGATGCCGCGCAGAAAGAAGGAGCCCGTGTCGACCTCCCCGCCATTGGCGGTTCCAAAAAGGTGATGTACGTGCTCTTCAACGCTGATGGCGGCGCAAGGATGCGCCTGTGGATTGAGCCTCCGGATGCCGCATCGGCCAAGCTTTGGATCGAGGGCATGCTGATCTCGCTGAAGCTCTGGCCGCCCCTCGACGTCGGCGCGGAGGAGCAGCAGTGGCTCCGTGCCGTGTTTGAAGCGAGCGACCGCAACCGCTCCGGCTTACTCGAGCGCAGCGACTTGCGCACGCTGCTCAACGCCGCCAATCTCGGCAATGTGGGGCAGGCAACGATCGAATCGGCGCTTGGATCGGAGAAGGTGCGCGGAATGAGGCTGATCGGGCACCTCAACTTTGCGCAGGCAACCCGACTCTTGATTGCGCTGCAAATGCCGAGCGACGACGAGGTCGCGGCCCTGTACCGCCGGTACTGCAGTGCAGCGCGGCTCTCCGCAGATGATGAGGAGAAAGATGGGGACGCATCGCTCTTACAGATGCCGCTCATGACACTCGAGGAGTGGGTACTACGCCCTCTGACGCTCTGCCCCCTTGAGAGCCCCGTTTCACTCCGCGAGATTTCCTGACTTGTAGGCTACATTTCAGCGCGAGGAGCAGAGCGAAGAGGAGGACTCGCGGGCGCTTTTTGAGGAGCGAATAAGTGTGAGTCGGAACATCCGCGTGCCCATGGGCGAGGTGGGGCCTGCCCCCGAGCTGAAGCTCGATCAGGGCCTCACGCTCGATGACTTTCGGCGCCAGCTGCTCCACCCCACCAACTCTGCGGTCGATGAGCGCAAGCTCGCGGCAGCGCCGGACGTCTTTTCGCACCCGCTCTCGCACTACTGGATTTCGTGCTCGCACAACTCGTACCTGGTCGGTGATCAGCTCACCTCGCGCGCGTCGGCCGACATGTACCGCCGCGTGCTGCTCGAGGGTTGCCGCTGCATCGAGGTCGACCTGGCGGACGGCGCGGACGGCGAGCCCGAGGTGACGCACGTGCACGCGCTCACGTCGCGCATCAAGTTCATCGACGTGCTGGAAGCTATTGACGAGGCAGCCTTCGAGACGTCGCCGTTGCCAATCATCATCTCAGTCGAAATGCACTGCGGCCCTGAGCAACAGCAGCGCTGCTCCGAGCTGATGCGAGTGGTATTTGGGCGCAAGATTCTGATGCCCGAGGAGGCGATTCGCTGCGCGGCAGTCCTCTCGCCAACGAGTCTCGCGGGGCGCATTCTCATCAAGGGCAAGCCGGAGCGGATCCTCCCTCCCAGGGCGGCCTCCAAGACCGGCCGCTCATCCATCGGTGGGGGGCGATCCGAGGCGTCTCGTCTATCAGAGAGCACCGAGGCCAACCGCGCCTCGCTGCTCGGGGACGGGTCCTTTCACCCATCCGAATCGCGCAGCACGCACCGCGTGCCGACCGAGGCGAGCTCGGAAGGGGCACCTGGCTCTGAAGTGGACTCCGGCTCCGCGCCTCGACGGCAGCTTGAGGTAACACGGCTCGACACCCTCGGGGAGGCGGTGCCGGGCTTGCAGGAGCAGAGCTCGCTAGAGGAGAGCGCCGGGGCAGGGCGACGCGTTCAATGGCTAGCCATGCCTGGACGGCTGACGACTTTGAGCGCGACCACAGATATCGACCAGGCCGAGGACACAGGCGCCACCCTCGAGGCGTACAGCGTCGCTCTCAGCGCCGCCATGAACAGCAGCCATTCCAGCGCACGCTTCTCGGCGCGGCCCTCGGCGCTGCGCGTTGGGGCGCGCAAGCTACTCCGTCAGGTCACGACGCCAGTGGAACTCGCCAAGCGGCAGAAGGGAGCCGCGCGCTACGTTGACCCCGCGATGCTGCGTGTGACGGCGCTCCGTTCGTGCGGGATCGATGCGAGGCAGACCTCGTGGCCAACTCCCATCATCACTGTCTCCGAGGCACGCATGGCCGCGATCGAGCAGTCGGGCCTGGGTGAGGGTGAGTCCCCTCACGACGTGTTTCTCCGCCGACTGACTCGTGTGTATCCGGCGGGTACACGCGTCGCGTCGAGCAACATGGACCCATTGCCCTGCTGGCGGCTCGGAGCACAGATGGTGGCGCTCAACTACCAGACGAATGACACGCCTGTGCAACTGAACCGTGCGCTGTTTGCGCTCGACAGCGGTTATGGCTATGTGCTCAAGCCGCCCGAGCTGCGGAGCGCGGGTGATGAGTGGCCTCCATCCCGTGAGAACCTCAAGTGCTTTTCGCTGCAGATCCTCGGACTCCACCGCCTCCCGACGCGGCGAGAACACCGCCCAGTGCTCGACTCGTCCCTGCACCACGCCTTTGAGCCGGCGCTGAGCGGTCACCCTGCTCCGCCAGATCCGACTGGCGCGGTCCAAAATGCTGCCGTATCGGTCGAGCTGCATACCGTCGGAGGGTTCTGTTGCATCAGCAGGACGCTGCCCTTGCCCAATCGTACCGTCCACCGAATGGTAGTCCAGCTGACGAGTCGTCATGCCCCGACACTCCACTGCCTCGCCGCCGAGCCGCGCGAAACCATTCTCCGCGTGTGCGTGCATGACGGCGAGGCGGTCGTGGCATACGAGGCGGTCGTGCTCGGGGCGCTCCGGGCCGGCTATCGCTGCTTGCTGCTGCGGAGTAGCAATGGCACTCCCATCAGACTCTGCGCCTTGCTCCTGCACATCAAGGAGAGCGTCGAGCCAAACATGCGCGAGGCGGGCCGCGCGCTCTTCAACGCGTTGCATACGGCGGTGGAGGAGAGGGACGCGAGAATCGAACAGCTCGAGAGCGTCGTCGATACGCTGAGGGAAGAGCTCGCCGTCCTGCGAGGTCAGGTCCACTCCGCGCAGAGAGAGACTGGCTCAGAGGCGCTGGAAGCGTGAGAAGAGTCGGCTAGGCCTGCAAAAGCTCACTTGACGTGCGTGTCCGTGTCCGCATGAGCATGTGGCATTCCTGGAATTGGCTGTAAATGTGTCTGTCAGTAGTCTGTACACATACCTACAGGGGGCCGCGGCGGGGCGAACAGTCCCTCGCCCGCGAAATGAAAAGTTGTAACAAGCCCATACACGACCCCGCCAGTGCCACACCTGTGTCTTTACACTCCACACTCACCTACCGAAACTGTGATGTGTGCGCTGGCGGCGCTGGCTGCGAGGGTGGCCTGGACAGGGGCTGCCTTCGGGCCGCGCAGCTGCTCGCACGCCGCCCGCGCCGCCTTCGCCTCGCCCACCGTTGGGACGATGTGGTCGGGCCGCAGCTCCCGCACGCACGCCTGCAGCTCGCCGAACGAGGAGTGCTCCGAGTAGGGCACCTCGATGATGCGCGTCGCGCCGGCGCGCAGCGTCCGTCCGGCGGCGCCTGCTCCAGCCGCCGACGAGGAGGCGCACCAGCCGGTCGGACGAAACGCGACGGCGGCGGTGAACCGGCCGTTGCTCGACTGCAGCATCGCCTTGATGCGGTCGAAGCGCAGGTGCCTACCCGAGATCGCCCAAGATCGCCCCGAGATCGCCCCGAGATTGACGCGGTCGAGATTGACGCGAGATCGCCCCATCGGCACGACAGCCCAGCGCGTCGCCGATGCGTCCGTCGTGAGCCGCTCGACGTCGGCGCGCGGAAGGTCGAGGCAGGAGAGGGTGGCGAGGCGCGCGGCGCTGACGTGAAGGCGGAGGCCGAGGCTGCGCGCAGCGAGGAGGAAGACGCGCTCCTGGGGAGATATGGGGAGATATGGGGCGATCTGGGGAGAGATGGGGAGATGTGGGGAGATATGGGGCGATCTGGGGCGATCTGGGGCGATCTGGGGCGATCTGGGGCGATCTGGGGCGATCTGGGGCGAGATTGGGAGATGTGGGGAGAGATGGGGCGATGTGGGGAGAGATGGGGAGAGACGGGGAGATGTGGGGAGAGATGGGGAGAGATGGGGAGAGACGGCGCCCGTCCGAGAGCCGGAAGAGAAGGAGGACGGCGCCCGGGCAGTGGTTGGCGTCAATCAGCTCGACGGTGGCAGAGACGCCGCCGCCGCCGACGGCCGCGGGCGTGCGCAGCGGCAGCGGCCGCAGCTTCTCCTCGGGCACGCCCAGCCTGCGCGCGACCAGCCGCGCCGTGATGTGCGAGCAGACGATCTGGCTAGAGGAGCCGGCAAGCCTACGTGCTGAAAACGCCAACATCAGGCCGGGAGGACGGTATTGTGCAGAGCATTCAGAGCACCGTGTGAACACGAGGGGTACGAATACAGCGGATACTGCGGAATGCGGCCGAAGACAGCTGAACCCGCCTCCTCTCGAGCGCTGGTTGGAGTGCAGGACTCCGTCCCCTTCTAGGCACACGCGCCCGTCCGACCATCGCCGGCTGAGTCCGCAGTAGTGGTCGGCGTGGAAGTGGGTGAGGAAGTAGAGCCGCCCCTCTCGCGGCGGCTCGCCGAAGCCGTCCACCACAAACGGCGTGCCAGACACGAACTTGAAGTGCGGCAGCGGCCCGCCGCCGCCGAAACCACTGCGGCCGCCCCTGCCGCCACCGCCGCCTCTGCCTCCACCTTTGCCTCTGCCCTTACCGCGGCCGCGTCCGGCCGGCGGCACATCCTCCTCCGCGCCGAGCACTCCCTCGTCGGCGCCGCCGCCGCCGGCGGCGGCGGCGGCCGACATCATGCGTTGGAAGACGTTTGGCTTTCCCCAAACCCTGCGCGCCGACTGCAGCATCACTCCCACCGCGTCTGTCGCCTCACTTCGCCCGGCTACGGGCGCTGCTGGCGGTACGCCATCGGACACGGGCGGCGGCGCGACCGCCTCGCTCTCGCCGCCTGCGTTCCCCGGCTCCTCCTCCTCCTCCTCCTCCTCCTCCTCCTCCTCCTCCTCCTCCTCCTCCTCCTCCTCCTCGCACTCGCCCTCACCCTCGGCCTCCTCGCCCTCACCCTCGGCTAATCTTCCTGCAAACTCCTCCTCGGCAGCCTCTCGCTGCTCCTCCTCGTCGACTCCCTGCTGCAGGCGGCAGCAGTGGATGTGCGCGACTCGGCTGCGGCGGTCCAGCTCGCACAGATCGCTGAGGCAGATGACACACTCGAAACGCCGGCGCCGCTTCCTGGGCTCGCAGGCAGCGAGCCCCGGGCGGTTTTCTACGCCATTCTCCATCGCCAGGCCGTGCGGCTAGCCGGGCTGGCTTGCTGCTGGTCCAATCCTCTGCGGCTCGCCCGGCCTTTTTTCGGATCTAACTGTTGGGTTCCTCCATCAAACTACCAGGGTCTCCTGTCCTGTTGTATGTGGTACCCCAGGCCGTTTTGATTTTTTATTACCCATCTGGGATCAGAATTCTTTTATTTATTGTCGTCCACGCAAATGAGGTGCCTCCTCCTCTGCTGCTGCGCAAAGAGCTGGCGCCGCCCTCGGCTGCGGCGCGGCCGCGGGCCTCCCTCCACCTCCATCTATCTCCGACTCCTCGCTATCGCTCTCCACCTCCGCCTCCGCCTCCACCTCGTCATCCCATGGCGGGGCAGCACACGCCGCCGCCTGCGTCGCCGCCACCGCTGCAACCTCCGCCCTCGCCTGTTCTGCTGCGCGCGCCTGCCGCCTCGCCGCCCTCTGCTCGCTCGCGCAAGGCGGGTCGGAGAGCAGCGAGAGCCACGGCAGCGGCAATGTCCGCCGGGTCACAGCTGTCACCCTCGACGCTGCCAACACTCACCTGCTGCTCGTACGTATTGCTGCTTTGCTGCTTCGGCTTGAACTGCACGCCTTTGTAGCCGCTGTTGCTGCTTCTGCTCGTAGCCAGCGTGAGGCCCTCCAGCCCCGCTTGCTGGACTGCCTTGGCGCCAGCGGCAGCGGGTGGCGGCGGCGGCGGCGGCGGCGCGGTGAGATCGCTGGTGTCCCTGCCCGCCTCCCTGCGGGCGTAGAAGAGCGCAGCCTGCTCGGCGGTGGCGAAGCGTCCTAGGTGGACATCTTTGCCGCCAATCTTCACCCTCAGCTCGTACTTCTTGGTGCCGCTCTGCTTGGGGCAGTAACTGACGCCCTTGTAGCCGCTGCTGCCGCTGCTGCTGGCGGCCAGAGTCAGCCCCTCCCTCTCCGCCTGCCGTATCGCCTCTGCGCCAGCGGCAGAGGGGGCAGCGCGGGGCTGCAGCAGCTTTGCGGCGTCGGCGCGGCCGTACTCTGAGCGAGCGTAGGCAACGGCCGCCTCTTCGGCGGTGTCGAAGTGGCCGAGGGAGACACGCTTGCCGCCATCGTTCACCTTCGCCTCAAACTTCTGCTCGCGGCGTTTGTAGCTCACGTTTTTGTAGCCAGTCGTGCTGTTCTTGAGGATGGCTGGGATCAGCATGAGGCGCTCGGACACCTGTGGCCGCTGGGTGTTCTCGGGCGACATGAAGCACACAAAGAATTGGGACTATGCAGGTGCTCACGCCGCGGCTCCGTGCGCCGACGACGATGATTTTTCTTTGCACTTTAAAGAAAAGGAAATGTTCTGAGTTCAGCCAGTTCTCCGCGCGGCGCGCGTGGCGTCCTGGGGCGTCGTGTCGCTTTGAGATCTGATAGTCATCTGGGGGCAGACCACCGACCGGCGGGGGGGTCCCCACGAAGTAGGTAGGGGGGGTGGGTACAAAATGGTGGATGCTAGCATGAGCCCGATGCGTCGCAGTGCTCTTGCGTTTCGGCGGTAGTGATCTGATCACCCGAATACCACGTTCGGATCGCTCCTCATCGCTCGCAAACCCCGTCAGCAGTCCTCCTCCGGGAATGTACGTAAGAGAGAGAGACGTAGGGCCCTTAGGGGCCTAGAGAACACAACCCCCCTCTCTCTTTTCTCCCAGTAAGCTAAAAGTACGTACGTACACTGAAAATGACGCTCCTATCAGTCAGAACACAACCCCCCTCTCTCTTTTCTCCCAGTAAGCTAAAAGTACGTACGTACACTGAAAATGACGCTCCTATCAGTCAGGTCCGCGTGTAGAGTGAGTTTTCAAACCACGCACATGCTGGCCCCGCCCAAGCCGCGGCCGCCGCCGCACCGCTCCTTATGCCTGCGCATTACTTTCAGCTGCTGTACCTTTGTGACTCTGGCATTCCTCGGCCTGATCGCGGCCGAAGCAGCGGCGGGCGGGAAACCATCGTGCGAGCACCCCATGCTGACTTTTATCGACGCAAAAGCGCAAAGGCATCTTCCAGCACCAGTTGCGCCAGCCGCCACTGCTTCGTGGCCGCGGAAGGGCTTTGACCTGAACCGCACTTCGTCATCTCCAAGGGCCGCAGCGCGCGATCTGAGCGCTCCCGCGTGGAGCTTCTTTGTCGGCTCGGTGACATACGCCACTCCAGTCATTGATGCCACTGGGAACATCTTCGTCGCGTCAACGTGCGGCGCGATAATATGCATCAGTCCAGAGGGTCGCGTGCTCTGGACCTATCATATGGGGTGGGTATACCCGTCCTCCCCTGTCCTTCTGCAGGGCTCACTCTTCGTCTCCGACGGGGCGGGCAATGTGTACGCGCTCGACGCTGCGACTGGGCATCCTCGGTGGATTCGCCAGTTCGCGGGGAGTCGCGGAACGCTAGACGCTTTCTCTCTGGCTGGCGATGAAGGCATTCTCGTTGCAACAACCTGGTCCGGCGAGCCAGGGGCACCAACGGACGGTGCGACGGGAGGACAGTTGCGCGCCCTCGCGCCTCGCACCGGCGAAGACCTGTGGGTGCACGAGCTGCCCTCGTCGACGTACAACCACATGCCGATCATTACGAGTCGAGCAGTCATCTATTCCGACACCGAGGGGGCGCTGTGGTGCCTCGATCGCAGCAGCGGTGCCAGATTGTGGAGCACGCCGCCAATCACCCTCCCGCAGACAGGTCCCGCTTCCCTACCCGCGCAGCACGACGGGTCATATCACGATCTTGCAGACTCGCTTGGCGGCACGAGCATCTCGCACGGAGGGCTGATATACGTCACCGGCAACGCCGACTGGTACACGGGCGTGGCACGCGCCTACCAAGAGACGTCGCTCGAACTCGCGTGGGAGCATACCTTCCCCGAGCTCTCCCTCGTGGCCAACGCCGCAGCGATCTCCACGATCGCGGGCGTCCCCACGCTTGTTCTTGGCGTCGGGCTGACGCCACCTCTTGGCCTCTCATACTTGCTCCACCCGGGCGCTCCGGAGGATAGTGATGGCTACGCCAGGTTCGACGGAACTTATCGCGGCAGGGTGGTGGCGCTGCACGCGACCACAGGCGCGGCGCTTTGGACCTTTGATACGCCCCCCTACAATGGGTGGATGCCCGCTGGCCAGCGGCCTGCATGGCGCGGGCTTCCGGCGCGCATCAACTTTCCAGATTCGTTCGCCTCCCCCATGGTTGGCGCGGACGGGGTTGTATACATCTCGTATGCGAATGGCGTGCTCTACGCCCTAAATGGCACCGACGGCAGTCTAATCTCCTCCTTCCAGGGCGAGAGTGCGCAGGCCGAGCCCGCCGTCGGCCCTCACGGCGAGCTGGTCGTGATGATGGGCACGACGCTGCAAGTGTTCAAGGACCCTTGACTGGTTGAAGGAACTGTTGACGTAGAAGGAATTGTTTAAGTTTCTGGACTCGACTGTCGGGCGGCGCAACGCCAATTCTTTTCCTTGCTAGTGTGCGCCAGTCCACGCCCTTGTCGTGCCAGTGTGCTGTGAGAGAGGCGGGGCATCAGAATTCGTGCGCGCCAGTCCCGTGCCCAGTGTTGTGCGAGAGAGGTAGTGCACCAGACTATCTCTCCCGCAAGCAAGCCTTTCCGGATCCAGCTGAACGAGCTCTTCTTTTAGCATGAGCATCTCATGGTCTTGCTATGATCCGCGGTCGCAAATGGAGAGGAGGACTCGGGGAACGGGAACTGGGGCCCGGCGGAGGGAACGCCGACCGATTTTTCTCCGGTTGCAGGGGAGTTCGTACGTCTTTTAGCTTATAGGGAGAGGGGGGGGGGTGATGGGGGGGTGTTCTCTAGGCCCCTTAAGGCCAGTGCTCAATATTTACCGGTATGAGAGTTTTTGGCTAATCAAGCCCTACCTAGGCCTGCACTATATCAAAAAGTGGTACGGGATACATGTACCACTTGCCTCATTTGTGGGTTGGTGTAACGGCACAGGGTGGTTGTTCTCTCTATCTCCCCTTCTAGCTCTTAGCATGAGCTGCGCCCTGTGTCCGACCCCTTTTGCGCAGCAACACCTTAAATTTCATGGCCCTCCAAATTCGGGTCGGAGCGTAGGCCGTAGCGGAGTGGGCCCCGAGTTTGAAAAGGGCGACGGACGCTTGCGTCCTAGCCTCCAACAACGCCTCCCCGGCGCAGAGGGGCCCCCGGAGGGATGCTCAACCGCACCACGCCACGCGCTTGCAGGTCTCCTCTTCCCAGCGACTCAAAACCCGCCGTTCTAACTGCCATGTCACGGCCGGTCGTCGGCTGCTGCTCTCGCCTCGCTGGCGGCGCGGTCTAGTGCCGCGGCTCCCAGCTCTCCGGTGGGCTCGCGGTGGCTCGCCGCCGTGGATCTGAACAATATGATCGGGTTCGTCCCGGCGTGCCGCCAGTGCCGCTTCCCTCAGCATGTTTGTCGACAAAGTTGCCCCTGAGCTCCTGCTGCTCGACTGCGCGGCAGAACCGGCCCCTCGCGGCTGAGACGTGATGCGCCGGCACCGGGGCTACGGCGCGGGACCATCCCGGGCCGTCTCGGGCAAGTTCAAAATCTGGTGTTTCCTGACCTCGACATCCTGCTGCACACTTTGACCTCAACCCGCGGCCCGCTGCAGCGGTAAGTCGTAGTAGGGAAAGTCGAGGAAATCGTCCATCACGCGGCGGCCGCCGAGGGAGCGGCTGCTGAGCGCCTGCGAGAGCCACGGCCAGGTGTGAGGCGCAGGCACGAGTGGTGCGAGGCGCAGACACGCCGCCACTGTCGTGCAGAGAGGCGAGGCCTCCTTCCAGATGCCGCTTCGCGCGGTGCGTATGTTTGGTCAATGTGCGGCAGCGGGCGTGAGGGCGGTCAGGGGCGGCAGCGGCGCGCCGTGCGAACCAAGAACGGACCTCCGCCTTGAAGATCCTGCACCGGGTGCTGTCTGCGGGGGGGGGGGGGGGGGGGACTGGGGATGACGTCTCAATGAGATGCAGCGATTGGCTTTCTTTTCACACACAGATTACATTTTACATGAGGGGAGGGCCCCTTATGGGCCGTCGAAGAGGCCGGCGAATTGGCCTTTACGAGAGTTTCCGGGAGGGAGAGGCGGGAGCCCTACGCACTCCTCGATCCGAGGACCGACGCGGCCCAGCTCCACCTGCCCTGCACCGCCGTGTGGAGCGCCGTCAGCCCGCGGCAAACGCGACGCCCGAGCGGGCTGCCTGTGTCGGCGAGCGCCGCGCAGAGCTTCTAGCGCGGCGCGGCGACGCTCAGCGAGCGCAGCGCCTGCAGGTACGGCCGCGCCCAGTACGCGTTGTGCGTCTCGCCGAGAAGCTCCGGCCCCTGCCACCAGTTGAGCGCGACGCTCAGCCCCCCGCCAGGACCGCTCCGCGTCGCCACCTGATGCCACCACTCCGGTGGCAGGTAGAGGACGTCCCCCGAATGCAGCCGGCACTGCAGTACCCCAAGCGACCGGCCGGCCGCACCCGGGTGCGCCAGGTCGGCCGGCGAGAAGGAGGGGCTGAGCTCGTGCAAACTGCGTGGACAAGGGGAAGTGTCGATTATTGGTAGGCTCGCGGGTGGATGAGGCAAGGGGGAGGGGGAGGGGAGGCGCAGAGGCAAGGAGAATGAAGCCGCACCGGCGTGTGCGGTAGCCGCCCATCTGGGAAGAGGGATCGACAGCCTTGCAAAATACCCGGTATTTTGCCGATTTTGCTGATTTTGGCCCCAAAACAGCCTCAGACTCGGCTCAGAGGACAGAGCCCGGAAAAATGGTTCAAAAATGGATGGTTTCCCCGGAGTTTCCCCAGGAAACTAGAGGGGGCTGTAGGGAAACTAGCAGGAAACACGGAAAGGAAAGCAGGTAGGGTGCGAGGAAACCCTCGGAAAGGCCAATTTGGCCTGCACACACACGTTTCCGGAAACCAAAAAGGAATGAGAAGGTCCGCAGCGCTTTTCGTTTCCGGAAATTTCCCGGGAAACCAGAGGGTGTTAGAGAGAGTTGTTTTGTTGAGGGTGTTTGGAGCTGCATTCTGGCAACTCTCGAGTTTCCCTGAGTCTGAGTACTGAGAGCTGGTCTGGGGCAACATCTGAGGCGACACCTCGTTTGGCGGGCTGGCGGAGAGGACATCTGTCTCTGCCAGTGTCTGTCTGGCCTGCACGAGCGCCGTGATGATGCCGACGCGAGTTTATTTTATCGTTTGGGGAAAAAAGAACCCAGCACAATCTCGGCTATCATGTCGCGTCATCGGCGTTTCCTATCTCCCCCCCCTCTCTCGCCGACGCTCTCATTCCTGTGCCATGATCCCCGCGCCGGGCAGCCTCGTCGCGCTGCGGCAAGCCGCCGCTGCTCACCAGCGTGCCGAAGAGGAGAGGCTGGCCGCCGCCTTGGAGCGGGAGGCGGCGAACGTCAGGGAGCTGGAGGAGCTGGTCGCGGCTGCCGAGAGCTGACCGATGTGGAGCAAGGATTCGAGCAGCTCCGCAGCGAGTACGCCACGCGCCGCGAACTTCACAGCGCTGCGCTGCTCGCAGTATGCCGCAAAGCGATCACACGCGTGCCTCGGCTCGCCGCTGTGATGACAGCCGAGCAGGCGTTGGCAGATCCCGAGCGTGTGCTGGCATGGCTTCTCAGCGCGGCGGGCACGGCGCCTCCGACAGCGCCTGCTGCGGGCTTGATTCCCCCGACACCGCCCACCCTGCCGGCCACACCGGTCGCGACAAGCGTCGCCCTCGAGCTGGGCTCTGGCGCGTCCCTCTGGCAGCGAGGGCAGCGCTTCGTCTCGACCGAGGCAGCTGAGCAGGCGGAGGAGGGTTCGTGCTCTGGGGCGGCGGCGCCTTCGCGGTGGCCAGGGCTGATGGACGAGGCGAGGCCCCCGGCCCGCGAGGCCGCCAGCTCCGACGCTCCACCCCCGAAGCGCACGCGCTACACGGAGACGTGCTGGGGCGACGTCGTCTCGGGCGGCGCGCTGGGCTGCGAGGCGCTGCCTCCGCAGGCGTCGACCGCCGCCTTTCGCGAGAGGTTCTGCGGGGGCTGCCGGCAGCGGGGCGTGTTTGTGCCGGCGTCGAGGGTGCGCATGCCCATCGGCGCGGGCTCCGACGAGATCGCCAACCGCCACGGGCGCGGCTTCTGGAACGAGCCGTCCCCAGGCTCGCGCTTGCCTGCGCACCGCGTCGTGAACCAGACATCCGACTGCTCGGGCCCGAGGCTCGTGATCCTCAAGGACGAGCTTCCGGTCCCGCTGCCCGGCTTGGCCGAGGCCGCCGCGCTGTCCACCTCCGGCGGCTGGGTCGCCTTCTCGGTCGGCCGCACGCTCAAGAGCAAGGTGGCTCTGCCGTGGGCCGCTGCGATTCCTCTCTTGCCGGCCCCGCCGCCCGAGCGCGACACTCCTGAGGCTCGCACCGCATCAGCCCAGGGGCGTGTCGAGGGGTTTGCGGCGGCGGCGCAGGCGGGCGAGGCGTCTGGGTCTGCGTTGGAGGCCGGCCTCGCGCCCTTCCTCGCGGAGATCTCGCTCGCTCTCGGCCCGCTCGCCGAGGCCGGCGCGCCGCCGCCGCCGGGGCCCGACGAGATGACGTGGCACTTCGGGGGCGGCAGCCCCATCGACGATCTGCTTCTCTCTGGCTCCGCGACACCGCCGCTGCTGCAGACGCGTCCGGCTCCGGGGGCAAGCGTGCCGCCGCCCTCCATGCCGCCCTCCATGCCAAGGAGGTGATGAAAAAAAGACCCTTCACGTTATTTTCAGTTCGATGCCCTCCTCTCTGTGGGTTAAAATCCCTGTGTGGTGGCGGCGTGCCGTCCTCCCATCAACGCGTGTTTTCTTTCTTTTTGCCCTCCTCTCTGACAATGGAGCGTAGCGGAGTGGAGGACCTCACGCTCCGCCTGACGGAAGCGCTCAACGACGCGATCGCGAAGCGTCCCGCAGAGCCGCTCGCGGCGATGGCCGCCTTTCTTCGGTCACACGCGGACGCGCCGCCCGGCGAGCCGATCGACTCGGTGGCCGGCGCAACCCTCCTTCCCGAGGTGACCTCCTACCTCGAGGAGCATCGCATCCGAGAGGAGCTCGAGGAGATGATCAACGGGCTGCGTTCGAACGGCTCCTCTGGCGCCGCCAGCCTCGTCGGTCCCGCGGCCGACGCGCTCGCCGCGCCGCGCCGCGCCTTCCGCACCACCGCCGAGGTGCGGTCCGCCTTCATCGACTTTTTCGCGGACAAGGCGGCGCACTCGCGGTGGCCGTCGTCGCCGGTGGTGCCGCACGACGACCCGACGCTCCTCTTCATCAACGCGGGCATGAACCAGTTCAAGCCCCTCTTCCTCGGCCAGTGCAAGGAGGGGACGGCAATGTCCAAGCTCAAGCGCGCGGCCAACTCTCAAAAGTGCATCCGCTTCGGTCTAAGGCATGTACCTCGCCTGCAGAACCGTCTTCAC